CCACGGGGAGCTCATTCCAGAGGGCCGGAGCAGCCACAGAGAAGGCCCTCCTCCGGGTAGTAGCCAATCGGCATTGGCCAGTGGATGGAATTCGGAGGAGGCCTAATCTGGGATCTAATTGGTCTGTTGGAGGTAATTGGCAGCAGGCGGTCTCTCAAGTGGATGGATTGGTTCTAGAAAATTGATTGGTTCCAAAGCACCAGAAAGCAAGACAAGAAACAATGGATGGAAACTAATCGAGGAGAGAAGCAACCTGGAATTAAGGAGAAACTTCCTAACAGGGAGGACAATTAACCAGTCGAACAGCTTGACTTTCAGAAGTTCTGGACGCTCCATCCCTGGAGGTTTTTAAGAAAAGACTAGACAGCCATTTATCTGAAATGGTATAAGCAGTGGGGGGGGGGATTCGAATTATTTACTACAGGTTCTATGAGTGTGGCGTGGTTTGGTGGGCGTGGCAGCAGGATACTAAAAAATCCCCATTCCCTCCCCACTGCACTCCAGGCAAGGATACTGTAAAATCTCCATTCCCTTCCCACTCCACTCCAGGGCAAGGATACTGTAAAATCTCAATTCCCTTCCAACTCCAGGGGAAGGATACTGTAAAATCTCCATTCCCATCCCACTCCACTGCTTTCTAGCTCTGTTCTCTTGTGCAGGGCAACAGAAGAAGACCTAGCTGATCAGCCGGGATTCAGGAGGCAGAGAATAGACAAAGGGCGGGGCCAGCCAGAGATGGTATTTGCCAATTCTCCGAACTACTCAAAATTTCCACTACCAGTTCGCTAGAACCGGTCACAACTGGCTGAATACCATCTCTGGTATAGGGTCTCTGCTTGAGCAGAGGGTTGAACTAGAAGACCTCCAAGGTCCCTTCCAGCTCTATTGTGATTGATATCCCAAACTGGAATGCAGGAGAAACTTCCTAACAGTGGGAACAATTAGTCGAATGGTTTGCCTTCAGAGGTTGTGGGTGCTCCATCCACCGGGGGTTTTTAAGAAAAGACTGAACAGCCGATTGTCTCAAATTGTATAGGGTCTCCTGCTTGAGCAGGAGGTTGGACTAGAAGACCTCCAAGGTCCCTTCCAGCCCCATTCTGATTGATGTATTGATCATGTAGATTCGCAAATTTTGTAAACCCAGCCTCGGTGGTCTTCTCAAAAGACCCAAGGTGAGCAGTAGGCATGGGACCAGCATCAACAGTATGTTTGTTTGGGGAAAAAATGTATTTTTTTTTTGTCTTTCTTAACATCTGGGCGCAGGTCGGATAAGATTTACTTCAGGAAGCTGAATGCCGTTTCCAGGCCATCTGGCTGCTTTCCACCTCGGATAATGTCTTTGTTAGAAAGTGGAGTTAGACATTTATGTAGATGCCCTTGGACTGGAAATAGCTTTGCGGGAGTAGCAACCTAATTTCTGGAGCAAGATAAATGGGCTGAAATGAAACAATCTGATTAAGTAGAAATTAGCTGGATCCAAAGTACTCAATGAGCAATTCTTGAGAGAGCGAGTTACTGGTCCAAAATCCTCCAAACGGCTACGAGCAGAGGTGATATTCTTCCAGTTTGGACCGGTTTGCCCGAACCAGTAGCGGAAATGGTGGGTGGCCCTGCCCACCCGCCCCAGCTCTATGGCATCCCATTTAGGCCTTTTGCGCATGCACAGAAGGCTGAGCACACACGCACGCTCACATTTGCAAACCGGGAGGGAAGGTGTTCTGGCCTCCACTTTGCCCGTTCAGAAACTACAGCCACACAAAGCTTGCAAAGGAATGTCTTTATCAATCCCGTCTCAAGCTGGCTTCGAGCCCAAAATAAACATAGATAAACGGCTCTTACAAAAAGTCTTCACTCAAACTAAATACCAAAGAGAATTACGCGAATCCAGACACTTAGCTAAAGGCTTCTCTCAATGGTTACACACGAACGGAGAACGTTGACTTCTGCAACCAGGGCGTGGCACCATCAGTCCTTTTATCCGTAGGAGAAGACTCTAACGAGCAACAGCTGCTTGTTATCACCTCCTATGAGTCCTCAATTGTTCGTCGGTCAGCTCTTCTCCT